GTCCAAGAGCAGATGCGTGGCCGCTTCAGGACGTTATTCATGCAGGCCTGGAGGCTTTACTCTGCCAGCCTGCTTGGATGCTGTATGTAGCTGTGAGAGTAGATGTTTGGGTTTGATAGACATTGCTGTTAACAGCTCAGTGACTGCATTATCTGCAAATCTTACAGCCCAGATAATGCTGGTAGTCAAGTAATCAAACAGCACATGAAAAACTAAGCTGCTGTAGGCCCCCATGAAAAGAAGCTTCAGCAAGGCACATTCCTGTGCTCCCTGGACCGGCCAGAAGGCATGCGGTCTCCCCGGCTGCTCTGGCTGGGCGGTCGGTTAGGAGGGAGGAGGTGAAACTCTGCTAATTCTTCATTTCTTTTAAGTATGCACTATTTTTTTTTTCCAATGTGCTCTTCTTCCCTTTGATTTTTACGATTTCTACTGAAGACTCCCAAAAGGAAGAGTGCTTTGTTGTGATAAGCTTGGTACTTCCCTGTGGTTTGTACAATGTAAAAATACCATAGGCTATTTTGGGCAGTGATCCTGAAACTCCTCACTTTTAATGGCTATGCAAAATATTTTCTAAGGTCTTTGAGGTTTTATGGAAACATCTGTGGAAAATATCTTCTAAAAATGTCACTGTCTCTACAAAAGCAGTAGGCAGGACGTGTTCACTTCTTGGTCTTGGATGTAGATCTTTACGTGTGTGCTTAACATTACCGTCATACCTCATTCCACTGATTTATCAGATTGGATCACGGCTTGCAAAAATCAAGACTTACGTGTGTGGCAGATGTTAGGTGTATGTTGGTGAAGTATTCATTGTAGGGTGCTGATAGCTTGTGCACAAGTTGGTAAGCCTGCTTTTACCCTGTTTTGTTAACCTGTCTAACTCTCTTTGGGTGCTCCCTAACAAGGTACTCCCCAGGCTGGCATAAGGTTGGTAGAGGTACACTTGAGAAAATACCTTATTGTAGCTAGAATCTTAACTAGTAGCTCCAGAGTAAGTGTGTATAAAATAAGAAAGGTATGCTAATATGGAATTGGAAGGCTTATTGTCTAAACAAAAGGCTACAGTGTGTTTCAGTAATTATAGGAGGATAACATATGTTAAAACAGTGCTATAAGATGGATGATGTATTATTACAAGGAAGACGTAAATCTAAAATTCCAAGGCAAAAATCATTGAAAGAAATTAAGTGTAAGAGAGGGGAAGCAATGTCTCTGTTAGAAACGAGATATTTGAAGTTGTAACACCTTACCTTGTTTGTAAGGTCATCCTATCTTGCATGCAAATGGTGGGAACATCTTGAAGTCAGGAACTTATATGATAAGGACCTAGCATAATTTATGCTGATGTCAGACAAAGGTTGTGAGACAAGATATTGAGCATGTGCGAAGATTAAGTTCAATTAAAGGATACAATGAGGAGGACTATTGGAGGCCGAAAGAAGACCACCAGAGACCCCAGAGAAGCCCCTCAGAAATTCAAACCGCATGCGTAATGAGTATGCTGATATGATAATTAGTTCCCGGAAACAGAATGAATATGTAGATTGGTACCATGCATATGCATGTAAGTCTGTGATATATATGCAAATTGTAATCACACCAGGTTGCACGTTAGGTGGAGCGATCCCCCATGCATCCAGCGCTGCAATAAAGAGAATGCCTGCTTCTTAATACTGCATTGGTGTTAGGAAGTTTTACTCCTGATTTCGGTAACAAGATGGGAGTGTGCAAATACGTCCAGGCCTGCCTGTACTTGGAAAAGTGGTTTGTCGAGACTGGGGCTGTTACATAGTCTGCTTGCTTCTGCTCCTCACTGTGTGGATATAAAAATTACTGTTCCTCTGCATTGGCAGGAACCTACTGCACTCAAATGGTGTGAGGTGGTAGGAAAACGTGGCTGAAATGTGTGTTCAGAGAAGGGTGCTGCTGCGAGACATTCACCTCTGCTCATCCCTCCCGCCTGCGCACTGTGCCCTCACTTAAAATGGAAAAACTGTTTCTGCCGTTGCATAGTAAATCAGCAGCTGAGAAGGACTGATATGTTGTTTTTCTTCCCTTTTATTTTTTTTTTAAGCCCCGGGGCAGAAACGGCTACTGAGGTGCTGGTGCCGTGGTAGGAGTGAGTGAGTGGCCAGCGGAGCAGAAAGGCTTGGGGGAGCCAGTGGCTGTTAAGCCAACCTGGCTACCACAACAAATGTCTGTGAAACTGCACTTTGAACATTTTTTAACAGAAGGATTTCCCACACAGCTTTCCACAGCCGCTGTTGTGAAACCAGTCAAGTCAGCCATCATCCAGGCAGGTCAAATCATGGCGCAGTCTTTTTTCAAGTACACTAGGTTTTCAAGTTTCGGGATCTCGGGCAAGCTGGCATTACACCCTCCTTGAGCTCCGAGAGAGCAGCACCGAGCAAAGCAGGCGGACGGTCCCTGTTGTGGAGCCCTGGTGTCGTGGTGGGTTAGCATGAGGGGGCTGGCTGATTGTAAGTATTTGTGGAAAGCATAAATACTTGCGTAGTGTTTGTAATTATTGTCAGACCGTGGTGTTCACCCGGTGAGGAGATGTAAAGCTAGAGAGGGAGCTGGGCTGGCCGTACTTCTGCCTGACTTGTGGGAGCCTTTGGGTGAGAAAGACTTGAAGCCAGAACCTGCTGCAGCATGACAAACTCCTGCCAGAGCAGCCTGGCTTTTGGATGCCGTTGTGCTGGGCTGTTGGGGACCCTGGGCTTGGAAGGATCACAGGGCTTTGAAGGAGCTCTGTAGGTACGGACCAGGATTTTGAAGGCCTGCCTGCTGGCAGCGATTGCAGACCGTGAGTTGTCTGGGTTGTCTCTGTCCTGAAAACTGCACAGCACCTTCCTTCTGCAGAACCCATCCTTTGGAGGAGCTTTTGTTTAATGATAAGCTAAATCTGTAGAAGATTTATGACATTACTGCTTTTTTTCACAGCCAGCTTTTTCAACATGGGAAGAGTTTGTTACCAGCTTGTACTTCTACACTGATGGGTCCTGAGCTCCTGGGCAGACCCTCGCTGCAGCCGACAGGCAGAGGCAAGGCGAGATGGGCCATGCCCATGGTGAAGCCTGCAGCGTCAGAGGGACTGCCCTTGTAACAGGGAACTCATTGTATATGTGATTTGTCACCCAAAGATAACATCTTTGAAACCTCTTGGGTCAGTAGGTTGTGGCCAGCTTCTTACTCTTTGGGACAGAGACTGTTTTCATTTATTTTTGAGTAACACCTATTTCATTGCATCCCACTCTGGAATGTAGTTAGTCATAACCAGAGTTTAAAAAAGAAAAAAAAAACAAAACACCACAACCCAAAACCCCCTAAACAACCAAATTTGGGACTGTGGCTGAATAACCTAACTGACTTTCTGTGATTTCCATGGCTATTCAGAGAGTTTAAAGGAATGTGTCTGAAAAAAGATGGAGACACTGGTATTTTTCACAAATATTGCCAATTTATAGGGTATATGCTCAGTATTAGAAACTACCATTAAAACCTCTCTAAGTAATGTGCAACAATGCGTAAATAAGCTATATATTCTATTTAAGTATTTGTTGCTTTAAATAGTGGCTCCAGGGACTCAGGACAGGAATAGCAGACATGTTGCTGGATGTAGGCAAGATTCCGCTGGCACAGTTCTCTAACACCTGGCTTAGGAAAATGTTGTTCCCCTTACAAATGCCAAAGCTGCATACTTTTTTACTTCTGCACTCTAGTTTTTAACGTTATGGTGAGTGTGGCCAGCAGTTGGAAGTTCATCGTGGATACTTTGGATCTGGCTGATACAGATTGAAAGGACCTTTAGACTTAATCCTTTTTTTCCCCATTCATTCTCTCAGAATTTGTTCAGTACCTGTTGCCCTGATGTGGCAATTATGTGCTTTTTGCTGTGTTTCTTGTTTTTTGTGTTAGTGGAGCCTCAGTTGCAGGTAGAAAAGAACTAAAATACGAAAGGAATTCTGTCTCTGATAACATTTAAACATTGGAGACAGTATCAGCTAAAGTGTGATTTGGTATTATTTTCCTTGCAGCTGTGGATTTTTTTCCTTGCCATCTTGCACATGGAATCCCTACTTTCACCTTTGCAAAGTGTGTCTGGATAACTGTGAAGCTGCATTTCTTCTCTGGCTTCCTTCAGTACAAGAGGGTGCCATTGTATTTTGGGTCCTTCAAGCTCAGCCGCCTTTTGGTTTGTTTGCAGTAAGCCAAGTATTTCCAGATTCTTTCTCTACTGCCCAAAATATTTAGAACTATTGATGTAGATTTTTGTTTGTCCGTTTGTTTGGATTTTTTTGTAGCTGTTGTCTCTTTATAAAGCCTTGAGCACAACTATCCCAAAGTGTGGCTTAAACAGTTTTTCCTCCCCCCTCTCCTTTAATTTGCTCAAAGTCTTTAGTAACGTAGAAAGTTACATATTTTCTGTAGCAAAAAAAAAAAAGTTTTTTGTTTATGCATGTACCAGAATGGACATCTTAAAAAGGGCAGTATTGTTCTGTTGAATTGAAATGGATCTGTATAGCTTGTTTTGAAACAAAACCTCCAGCTTGTCTTAAAAACAAAATAGTTTTGCCTGTATGTTAAAAGTGAGCAGATTTGGAGTCTGTGCCATGCTTGCGAATATTTATTTTTTCACTACTGAGGGGCGAGAGTGTATTGCAGGAAATAGAGCCTTACCATCGTGATGCCTGTTCTTCTGGGTGAAACATGTCAGGACCACGAGCTGCACAGAGGTAGCAAAGAGCAGGATTAAGAAATCAGAAGCGGTTTGTCCTCATCCTCTTCACTCTCATCCTTAGTGTGTGGGAAGGCTAGAAACTGATGTGCTTAAACCTAGTGACTTTTGATAAACAAGACAGTCTGCTTCCACTTAAATGCTGCTCAGCTGGGAGGAGAGGACTTAAGAAATTCTGGAATTTTACAGGAAGTCTCCCAGCTTCCCATCTTACTTTTGCAATAGAAACCTAAAGGCAGTGATGGAATGACTTGTTTTTTGTTTTGCTTTCCAGTTGGCCTGCTGCTGCGGTACTGCTGCTTGTTCCTTGTGCTGCAAATGCTGCCCCAAGATAAAACAGTCAACCAGCACCCGATTCATGTATGCGCTTTACTTCATCCTGGTGACTATCATCTGTTGTGTCATGATGTCAACAACAGTAGCTAACGAAATGAAAACGCACGTAAGTAAGAGAGATGAACCCACTGCTGGCCTTGGAAGTGGGAAGTGGGAAGAGCTCTTCATGTATGAGGACACCCCATCAGAAGAGGTGGTCGATTCCCACCACCCAACCACTTCCAAACCCAGACAAGATGATTTTCCATGCTCAGCCTCTTCCTGTCAATTGCTGACCCTTTGAGTGTGTTTCACAACAGGAAGAGTCAAGGATCACAGGACTGGCAGCCTTCCTCCTCTTTCGTTGTGTGGAAATCTACTGCAGTGAACCCGTCCCCAGTTTAGTGCATGGGTAGTGTCACTAGAGGCTGTTAGGGAACACGTTACAGTAGAACAGATCAGTTCGGTCTAATGTTGAGTTCGTCACTGGCATAGTAGCAGAAGCAGCAAATTAGAAAATAACTCTTCAAGTCTTGCATTTGTAATTTTAATTCTGTGTTCTTGGTGCTGTGTGACAGACTACTGCAATGCACAGCGCTGCAGATCCTTTACAAGGGGTTTTCTTCAGCGTGCATTGAGTCATTGTGTTCACATGGTGTCTAACCACAGCAGATATTGTTCATCTCTAATTGTCCTTTTAATTAAAAAGCTTCAAAAGCATGAAAGGAGCTTAAACTAGATTTTAAAACTCGAGTTTCTTTCAGAATCTTAATACAACTTTCCTAAGCTAAATGCTCACCAGCATGCTTGTGCTCACACACTAGACCTATTGTACCATATCTTTGGTTTGGTTTCTTAAGCTGCCCAAGTTGCTCTCGGTAGCACAAATCCTCTCTCTTGCCCTCTACAAGCTACAGAAGAGAAGTCTGTTTTTAAGTCGCGGAACAGTGACTGGATTGCTTAATTCTTAAAAATTAAGTTTCTGCACCAAACTTGTCATTAGGCCTGCCTCAAGGTTGTGAATGTGCTTGCCCTGGAGGTTCAGAAGGCTTCCCTTGCTGCGGGCATCTAGTTGTTTTGTGTAACCCTCCCAAGAGGGAGTGCCGATGGGAAGGCCATTTCCTCGTTTAACTGGCTGCTGGTCAAGATGATGCCCTGCTTACCTTCTACGCTTGATTTTCTGTTGTCTGTGAAACACTTCCTTCTGCAGCAGCCCAGATCTAGAAGCTGGTGATAGCACCCTGTGCCTGCAGTACAGATGAACCAGCGGGCTTATGGTGGGGCTAGTTTGAGGGTTTCCGTGCTCTGCTGCCAGTGACCTTTCTTTCTTCCCATTGTACTCTCTTTGTACATTCTGTCCTAGTTTTCTTCCATTTAATAGCTCTTTGCTTGCGCTATCCTAGTGCTGCCATCTTACCCTGGGCCACTAGAAGTTGCTGACAGCCCTGTAAGAGCACCCAGTGCAGACATGATGCTTGCCTGTGAGCTGCAACTTAAAAACCGTTCAACATGTGTGTGCTGAAATTGCTTGCCAGGAATTACTTTGACTTACTAGATGCTTAGCTTGGCAATAAAGTGAATAACCCAAGGAACTCAAGTGTGTGGGAGACAAATTACGTGCTCATATCCAAATTTCATGAAGTTGTTTTCCGTCAGTTGTGTGGTTTTAATGCAGCTTGTATCCCTAACAAAAAATACTCGCTCTTTATCCAGTAGAAAAGTGATTCAAGAAGCCTTCAACAACATGTTTTTCAGTATTGCCAAATTTCTTTTCCAGTTCATAGTCTTGAAAGCTCAGTGTGGGAAGAAATGGCACAAAGAGTAGCTGTTAGCATGAAGTGGAAAGATAATCACCCTCTTAATTTAGAGCATCTGATGTCTTTGAATGGGAAATGGACCATCTGAAAGTAGGCTTTCTTTATCTGCTCTCCAATTCAGTAATTATGTTCAGGGCTGTTAAAAGTTCAAAGACTCTTGAAGCTATTTCACCCCAGTTGTAATGGAGTGCACCTTGAAAATATTTATTCAGACTAACCAGTCTCAGCTTCACATTGATGAACTGTGTTTTCCAAGTGCTGGGCACTTACCAGTTCTTTCACTTTTGGCTGGATTGTGGAGCTCTGCTAGCTCCTGAAGCCAGACTATAAGCAAACACTTTGCATGATGCTTCTAGGACCTTACCCTCTTTTTCTTGAGAGGAGACAGAATTTTAATTAATTTTAATTAGAGGTTTTTTTATTTTTGTATTAAAATAAAAAAATTAAAATTTTAAATTTTAGTGCAGTCCTTTATGAAGCCATAATCTTGGCAGGGAACTGTATGTCTGCTTTACCAGTTTAGAGTTCAAATACTCCTGCTGATGTTCTGTGAAAGGAATCTCTCCCTTTTCAGTGAGAGGTTTTTTTGGTTGATTGGCTATAAATTCCCAAGTCTAAAGTAGTTCTAAAAGTATTTATAGCACTTGGTCTTTTGGCATTATTTTGAGAGGAAGCAACAGCAAATGTACATCTGTTATGGACACCTTAAACAGAGACTTTTTAAAAATGTTTGTATTTGTTTTGCAGTATTTATCTACCTCCATGGTCATGTATTCTGTCTATTAAAACGTTTAGGACAGTTTTTCAGTTCCTGAGGTGCCAGACTCTGCAGGTGCCATCCCAGAGGTGGGGACCTGCTCTGTGCCCTGAAACATGGCTGGAAAAATGAGGTACTGTGCCAGGGAGCTCAACTTCCACATCCTCACCAAAGTTGGCAGGTAGACGAAACCACATGTCAGTCGGAGGAGATGATACCTGTGTGTATTTGGTTATGGTTTCAAAACCTTGTTTCCTAATCTAACCAGCAGCATTTTGAGGACATCGTATTTTGTGATACTGTCAGAATTAAGGTGAGCCTTAAGAACTGAACAGTGTCTTTTGGGGAGGAGTTTTTTCTCTGTTGTTTTCATTCTTCACCCCATCTCCTGAGCTGTTCCTGGGCCATCAAGGGAGAGAGGCCCAAAGGGTTAAATTCTGAAAAATGTGCAAAGAAACCAAGGCATTTGTGTTTGTTCTCTGGGGAAGAGGCAGGAGGCAGTGGAGGGGTAGGGAAGGAGTGGATGGTTTTGACTGGGAAAATATTTTGAATAGTAGCATGTAGAATAGATTTCAGAGGAGCAAGCTTGTGTATCAAGGCAAAAGATGGGGTAGAGCATCAATCAAGACATGAGAGCCTCAGTGATGAGGAGAGAAAGACAGAAAAGACCAATGTGCAGTTACACAAAATAGTTTAGAGACTTGACTCTGTTCCAAAATGAAGCAAAGCAAGACCCAACTTGTAGAAGTTCTTCTATGCCTTGATCCATATATTATTTCCTTTTTCCAGTTGTTCTGGTTTTGTGAAAAACAGGTACACCTTTCCTCACAAATGTTCCGTTGAAGCAAAACCTTTCATTTCACAGGCTTTGAAAGGATAATTGAGAGAAGAAGAAAAGGGAGAGAATTGTCTTGGTCTGTTGAAATAGTGTTTTGATTTATTTTTTTAATTACATTTTTCATATTAAAGCTGTTTCAAAACTAGTGGTTTCACCCTGAAAATATCCATGTCCCACTGAAATGATGAAAGGGAAAAGTAAGAAAGATGTTTTCAGGAAAACAAACGCCAGTAAAACCCAGTTCAGTTGTGTCGGAGCATTTCAGTTCTAGACGGTTACATGTTCTGGCAGAGCATGCTTTCAGACTTGAATCCCCAGCCAGGTTTATATCTTGGCCCTTAACTGCATTATAGTATGATAAAACCCACATTTGCTACCAACAATGAATTTTTTAAGTGCAGATGCCCATTGCCTATTTCTGATAAGAATTCAGCCATAGATGCAAGATGACGTGTTTTGGTCTGATTGTATTTTTCTGTTCCATGTCTCGGCTGCTCAAGAGGGAGGGTTTTACCTGTTTTTTTACCCTTGTCTCCCCACCTACACAGATTTTCTTTCATGCTTCCTCCATTTCCATAACGAAGTTTGTCTGCCACATTCTCCCTCTGTTGGATGAGGACATCCAGACGAAAGCAGTCTCCCTTGGGCTCTTCAGGCCCATTTCTACACACTTCTTCCTTCCTGTTTCCCCTCTGATACTGTTTCCCATGCTCCTGCATTCACCTGTTTGGGTGCAGACAGACCCAGGCTCAGAAGTGACCAAGCCCCAGCCGGCTGGAGCCTGGACGTGGTGTGGCCATGTTGGCTTGCTTCTTGCACTGCGTTTATTTAGGGCACCAGCAGCTCACAGTGAGGGGAAAGCAAGTTCAGGGCAGTCTGTTCAATTTCTGTAGATGTTGCTGTCGTCTCAAAGGGTTTCACTGCACTCAGAAAATTACCGACTTTGCTGTGGTAACATCATTGCTTGCACAGCAACTGAGGCATTTATGTTATCTGAGCGGATACTGAGTTTCTGCAGCAAGAATGCTTCGTCCCCTACTCAGAGGCCAAAGAATTTAGCTTATGTTGCTTTTAAAGGTGTAAGAGTAGATATTTCACTGTATCAAACTTGGCAAATAACTAATCCATTACTTTAACAGCTGGCAAAACTACCTAGCAGATGGAAAGCCTGGTAAATCACATAGGCGAGGCCGGCTGCTCAGCAGCTGAACGTGTTTTGGAGATACAGAATTAAAAAAAAATAATTAGTCTTTTTTAACTTGCAGTGAAGAAGTCACGCAAGCCTTGATAAATTCTTCCCAGCAGTAGACCATCCGCTTACGAAAACATGCCCTTTTCATTATCTCAGTCCTTTTGTCCCCAGCATTGAGCCCACGTTTATTATCTGACGGGGTCCCCGAGAGTTTGGTTTTATTCTTGTTTTGTTCCTTCAGGATCACAGGTCTCCAAAAAGTGTGTTCAATCCCACTTGACTATTTCTGTAGCCATCACTTATTCCTGCGTAGTGGTGTACATACTACACGACAGCTGAGTTCTTTGTTGGTTGTGTAGGCATAAACTGAGCTATTGTTCTTGTGAATCCATTCATTTTCTCTCAGCCAGATCTGTAAGGAAATTACTACTAAATGCAGAAAAGAACATGTAGGGTCACAAATCCCATCAAGATCTCCATAGAAACCTATGCAATTAAAGAAAATGCCCATTTACAGTTACCCAGAGATCTGTTTCTAATTAGCTAGTCGATTAATCAGGCTCCACGGTGTTCTTTCGTTTTGTTCGATAAGTCTCATAAGCAAAATGCTGCTTGGTACCAAGTATAGATCTTACAGAAATCTGTCTCCTTGGTCAGTACTATCATCTATATCAAACAAATACCTAATTTTCTCAGAAATACTGTTAGTTCAGGATTATGGATCTTTTTGATCTCTGCTGACTGATCATTATTACAAGCAAAGAACTGGAAAGCAGTAATTGATAGCCCAGTTGCTTTCCCTGGCATTGCGGTGGCCCTTTGGTTTGTCCTGGCATCACTGTGGCATTGATAGGTCTCTTAATTATTCCAGTCAATCCATCACTCATTTTGAATGCTGGCACATTTGTTCAGTCTGACGTTTCATTGCCTTTCCAGACCTGGGAAAGGCATCGCTGATGCTCCAGTTTCTCAGGAGCTATCTAAAAATTGGATGTGAGTTAGCCACAGCTGCTCATTTACTGTGCAGCTTCTTATACAGGGGCTACTCATCTCTGAGTTACTCCTGAAACAGCATCTCAGAGTGGCTCAGCTGGAATCCATTCTTGTAACACCATGCAGCTGTGTTGAGACCTGCTTTTCATCTCCTCCGCTAGTTCTAGCCCACCTAGGACCAGCTCAGTACCGTAGTTAGGTTTGCTACCCTTAGCACAGCAACTCAGTGTTGCTGTGAGCTGCTAAAATATTTGCTCTTTTGGGGAAACTGCTAGGAGGGTTGTTGAGCTCCTGGTTTGGGTTGCTGGCACAGGATGGGAAGTGGCATACCCTGCTGAGGGAAGCAGGCTTTCGGAGCCTGGTGGCTGGAAGCTGGCAGTTTCTGTGATTATTCCTTGTGTCCTGCATCTTGGGTGGCTTTCTACTCAGCTAGGAATGCTGCTTGATCGTTTGATCTCAAGTCATGTTTGTTCTTTCCCTGTCCTGATTTTGTGTACTGACCTGCCTGCTGAAGGAAGGAGACATTCCTATCTTTGCTAATTTCTTGAAAATGTTCAAGGATGGTGTTACCCACAATCTTTGAATGTTTTTCCTGAGAAAAATCTGGCCTGGCTGAATGCTTTCTGAAGTCTGATTCCCATTTCCTTTGTCAGAGTTATTTGTTTGTGCATGTTGTGTCCTTGCACACATTGTCTTCTCTCTCCTCCAGTTACCTGTGCAGGTGGCAGTGATCAGAGACAGGGAGTTTGGTGTGTTGCTTGACTGGTCTCACCAGCCTCAGCTGAGGGCTGTGAGCGTACAGAGAGGCCCTTCTTTCTTTGAAAGGAACAGTGCTTTTCTAATTAAATGCCTGTATTTCTGTGCAGCTGAATGGCTCCATGGCTGCGAGGGGGGGTGTCTGCACAGAGGCACCCCACATGAGTGGGTGCTGGCCACATAGAACTCCTTTTTTGAGCACCCAGCATCGTGTCTGCCTGGTGAAACTGGAGCCAAAATGTGCAGCTGTTTGCTTTCCCCTCGCGGTGAGAGCAAGGCCTCAAAGGCAAATATTTAATGAGTCAAGAGAAAGGTGGAATTTTCCTGTCTCTCTGTTAATTTAAAACAAAATCAGGGCAACTGGCACAGCTGCCTTTCAGAGGCTGTAATGGAGAGGAGAGGGTTTGCTGCCCCTGTGCTTCGGTCTATGTTTCCACCGAGGGCAGCATGAGCCAGAGCTTCCTGCCCAGCAGCCCCGTTCATGCTGCTTCAGTTGGTAAAACCACCAGTATGGCTCGTGTAAGCTGGATTACTGGAGCAATCGAAGTCTTTTGCTGTAAAACATGGGAAGAAGGGAGAGGGTCCTCGGGGTGAGGGGTTAAGCATTAAGGGGCAGAGATGGCTTAAGCCAACAAAGCTGAAGGAAAGGTAGGTGGACTTGTACCCAAAACGTCTGGAAGGAGTTGAGAGTGGAGGATCTGAAAAACTCCAGTCCCTTGTGGTTTACATTTCTTTATGTCCCTTGGACCCTTAAATCCAGGCTGAGGGGTGTCAAGAGTGAAAGGTGTTAAATGAAGCCAGTGAAAAGTCGGTGGTGCATAGACGTAGACATGCTTAGTTACCTGTGGACAGGAGCCCTGTGTCCTATCTAATGGCTTGTAACGTGTTGTGCTTTTCAGATTCCCTTCTACAAGCAGATGTGCAAGGGTATTCAAGCGGGTGAGATGTGCGAGAAGTTGGTGGGATACTCTGCAGTGTACAAAGTCTGTTTTGGAATGGCCTGTTTCTTCTTTTTGTTCTTCTTGTTCACTATCAAAATTAACAGCAGCAAAAGCTGCCGAGCATACATTCATAATGGGTGAGTAATTGTTTGATTGCCTAATTTCCTCTTCTTTTTGCAGGTTTGTGCTGCCTACTTTCAGTTGGGTGTCGTAGTAGGCAAAAAAAAACCCAAACCAAAAGTTGATTTTAGTGCTTTTGTAATGCAATCAAGTGAAAACTAACTACAGTGGCAATCAGTCAGCAAAGGCTATGTTTTCTCTTGTTGGGCTTTAAATAGAGATTTCTCATGGTACTTTGGTAATTCCTTTTACAACCAGAGAGTTTTCTTTTTTTTCCTCTAATCCAGATTTTGGCTTGTTAAACTTATACTTCTGGCAGCGATGTGCTCAGGAGCCTTCTTCATCCCTGATCAGGACACTTTCCTCAATGGTACGTCCTGCTTGTTTTGTTATTCTGCTTTGTTCCGTACTACCTTGTGAGTGGTTATAAATCCTAAAGGTCTGATGAACACGAATGTAGCCATATTTCTTCAAGTAAAGCCAGTGTAGTCCAGGTGCAAAAGAAATATTTGGAGCTCTTTGGGGGAAGCTCTGAGTGCACAGAGTACCTGGTCTTCATGTGAATGTGCAGTAAAGAGCATGTTTTTTTCTGACCAAGAGCAGGCCAAAATCAGTAGGTAGAATTACCGCTGGGGTGCTGTCTTGCAAATTCTTTAAGAAGCAGGAAGACGTAATGGTGCACAAGAAATTGTTCACTCAAGAACGCAGAGCTTAGTGTGTTAGTTTGTTTTGTGCAGGTAGCTCTGCTGTAGTGCAGCAGCCAGGGTCTGTGCTGCGTGGTGGAGGTGCCAGTGCTGAAGGGGGCACAGTGACCTGCTGCCTGGAAACCTGCAGCGCCACAGAAGAATTTGGGATGTTAGCTTTCAGGCTGTTGGCATAAATGCAGTAAGGTAAAATGAGACCTCTTGGAGCGTGTTGCGAGTGGTCTGCTGAGGATGCCGTGCCTGAAGCATTTCCAGTTTTGGAAGATGCTCTGGCACCACACAGGTGTGCTGGTACTGGCCCAGTACTTAAATGCCATCTTTGAGGGGGCTTCACACAGGCCTCTTGTGGGCTAGAAGCAAAAATCCCAGTGCTACCAAGATGAGTTTGTGCTCTTCAATTTGCCAGGTACTTGTAAACCCTTAAGGTGTTGAGTATGGGCAGGTGTGGGATCAGTGGTGCAAAAAGGAGCAGTTGTGTATGCTGCCTGCTTCCACTGAGGCTTGCTTGGTTACCTTTATTTTCAACACTGATCTCCTCTAGACTGGATGTTTAAAAAGGGAAGAGTAAGGAGTAACACAGAGGAAGAGAATAGAGTGGGCAGACATACTATCAGCACAGTGCTCTGGGAAACTAAGGTATAAACCACTGATAGGTGTAGTTCAGCTTCATGCTCTTACTAGCTGTTTGTTTGGTCCTGGTTCAGTGTGATGCCCCAGAAATTAAGGGCTCCGTATCCTTACTCCTCTCCTCTGCGAAGTTGCAGGATGGCTACATGTGCTTGTCCTTGCACTGTTTGGATTAGAAAGATGTAGCAGTGCAATGGATTGTACTCATGAGCAATCAAGACTGTGTATCATCTTTGCACACAACCATTTTCAGGGTGAAAAGTCTTCAAGAACTGAAGTGTTTGGGGAAAAGGGGAACAGAACTTTTTATGCTGATTGGAGTGCTGTTTCTCAACAGTAGTCTAACCTAGTATGGAGATAAAGCATAACAAACTTTCTTCCCCAAATTAGCTCTTGACTTTTCTCTCTAAAGCTGTATTCAGCACATCCTGATAAACTGTCCTCCAGTCAGCCCCTGACTTTGGGTATTGTGTGGTTTTGTTTTTCCTTTTTTGTTCCCTCCCATCAAGAAACTTACAATGTCTTTTTTTGGTGTTTTTTTTTTTTTAAAGCATTCTCCCAGTTTACTTGTTTTTTCTTAAAATGAAACAAAACAAAACTCTTCCCATGCTTCCCATGCTTAGCAGTTTGTTAATCATGGAGGAGGATTATTACATGAAAGTACTAGGTTTGTGGGAGCTGTAGTGTTAAATCCGCACTGGCCATGCTAACCTTACCTGTGATGGATCCATAAAACATCCTGCAGTGTCCCGCCTGTGGCAGTGGGAGATCCTGAGATTCTGGCTATTTAATTACTCCATTGGTGGTCTGCTTTTTCCTGCTCTACCTCTCCCAAACACATGTGCACACCTTGTTTCCTGCCTATTTTTGCTGTACTTCCTTACATGCTAGCTTCTTCTGTTTTTTGTTTTGTTTGAAGAACGGCAGTCTTTTCAAGTGCATACAATACATTTAGCAAAACCAGACAGATGGCATTTTTGCTTGCTTTCAAGTAATAAGCTTACAATACAGTAAAAAAGAATAAAAATCTCTACATGATCTGCTAAGGGTAACGTGCCCTGACTGTTATGTTCTTCCACTTCACTTATACAAGCTATTTTCAAAAGCAAAACACAATGATAGGATACGGCTGAACTTTGCTAATGTACTTCCTTGGTATTCTTCATTGAAATCAGCTGCAGACCTGGAGTTATTTAGGGGCTGTGCACTGCACAGTAGCACAAGCTATATATGCAACTAAATATTTAAATAGGTATCTGTATTTCTTCAGAGATTTCTGATGTTGCACGTAAGAGATCTGTTGTCTGAAATATCCAAACAGCTACCTGAATACAGTATATGTAGGTCAATGGTTAAGTAGTCAAATAACCTGTCTTAAAACCAGTCAGTGAATACCAAGTGTTCCCGTCTCTTTAGGAGTGACTCAGGACAGCATTTGTAAATAGATAAGCTCCACCCTTGTTTTTCTGTGGTACTGGAACCTGGAAGGGAAGAAATTGCCTTTTTTAGTACTGGGTTCCAGTACCTTTCAATTTCAGGGTTTAGATTCCTGTGGAGTGCCTTCTTGCCAGCTCACTCCTGCAGGTCACAAATAAAGGTTTCAGTATTTTCTGTCTGAATATAGTAACTCTTAGTATCCACAAAAATTCTCTGGGTTAGGGAAACTCAGTAAATGTTCTAACAGAGTTATTTTGAAAGTGTAGCAGGTTGCAAGCTGAATTCATCAGGGAGTTAATCTTGAGTTAGCTGAGCTGGCCTTTGAGCTGAAATCTCTCAACTCCTGCTACATCTGTGGACTTAAGATATTCAAACCGCCTAATGGCTTCACTGCGTAGGCAGTAATTCCATTTTATCTCAAGGGAAAGGCGACTGCAGTTTGACCTATTTTCTGCCTCTCTGCCTTGCAGCCTGGCGCTACGTAGGAGCAACAGGAGGTTTCCTTTTCATTGCCATTCAGCTCATCCTGCTTGTTGAGTTCGCACACAAATGGAATAAAAATTGGTATGTGTTGGGCGGCTAGTTATTTGCATAGAATTCTGGTGGACTCCTGAACAATACATTTCGAATAACAAAGAATTTAAAAGTAGCATGAATGTAATTTCTGAGAAAAGACACTTTAATGCCAATATTTAAAGCTGTTTATCTTTGCTTCATCCACTTTCTCCTTCCCCAGCGGAGATGTTTCCTCTTTATTCACTTCTACTCTGCTGAGTTTTCTTAACCTGAATTGCACAGCTTCCAGTAAGTTGTAGTGTATTGGGATGCATAGACCTCTTACTTTAAGTTGGTTTATATTTTGTATGAAAGTATACCTGCTAAGAAACGGGGTGGTGCAAGAGAATAAAACTGGATTTGCAAAATGTAACAGTGGAACTGTGTGCAGTGGTGTAAACTGGTAAATCCTGCTTTTTTATGTCAGCTTAATGCACATTAATTTTTTTTTTTCTCGACATGAGAACTGCTACTTTATCTTCAACTTCTTTGCTTTCCTCTAAATATGCAAGATTCCATTATCAACCCACAGATACGCTATTTTGGCATTGACTTAATTTCTGGCTTAAGCATATTTGCTGTTACCTTTCTAGCCCTTAGCCTCTCATCGATTTAAAATATTTAAATTGTCCTCCCACATATATGCAGGAACGCCTGCCTCCACCTCCACCCTTTTTGTGTCTCATTTCTTCCTCTACAAACATTTGCAGTCCTCTCTTGTTCTAGTTAGCATATGGACTGCTAAGAAAGCATTTTAGCAAACCCTTGGGCTTTGTTAGATACCTGTTTTCAGGAAAAGTTGAGATCTAGTTATACCACAGATATTTTTACTGCTAATTACTGTAGCTGATTTTCTGTGGATGAAAGATATCCAGCAGCAGCATTTAACTTCAGCACTCTCTACATTAGACATTCTTTTGAAAGGTCATGTTTCTACAAAACAAAACAACAACAACAGCAAAACCCAAAAAAAACCCTTCCATGCACCAAAAAGTCATTTGTGCCAAAACAACTTTTTTAGTTGCTACTCCTAAAAAACCCAGTGATCTTTGCATGAGGTGTTTGGCAGGTGAGGAGAGGAAAACAAGATGGACTATGCTTTCACTGGGGCAGACTGGTGGGATAGACCCAAATGGAGAGGAGGCTTTTAGAGCAAAAGGGTAGTAAAACTGTGAAGGTAGCGCAAGGGGCAGAAAAGAGGCTGTGCCAAGAAATGCGCCTTTACTGCCCTTGTGTGAAGAGCACCACTCGCTAGCTGAGCCTGGGGCACTCTGAGTTCCAGCTGATGAAATCCCTGAGGTGTTGAGCTGAGATGCGCTGACGATCTGATCCCAGAGACTGGGAGTTCTAGGAGTCAGGCTGGACTATAATTACATAAACAGCTGGGTATGATAATAACAGAAGATAAACATGAATGCTAAGGAATCTTTCCCTGTGTTTCATGGGAGGAACCGTGCAAGGGCCTGAGTTGTTTTAGTGATGTACACGTGCTTCAGGAAAGTAAGCACTGTGTTTTGTGTTTGAGGATATGAACTATTCAGCTATTAGAATTTTGTGTTTTGGGGAAGGGAAGACAAAGGTAAGGTGTTTGTCTTTCTCTCCTCAGGACTGCAGGTGCAAACCACAAGCAGATGTGGGATGGTTTGCTTGCCCTGGTCACTCTCATCTTGTACTCCGTTGCTGTGGCAGCCCTCGTCCTCATGGCACTTTTCTACACACGCTCAGAGGGCTGCATGTACAACAAGGTCCTGATTGGTGTTAATGGTGGCCTGTGCCTCTTTGTGTCGCTGGTGGCCATATCACCCTGTGTCCAGAATCGTGAGTCTGCTGACCTCTTCTCCTCCTGGATTTCTGGTGCAGCCGCAGTTGTGTGCCTGGCGGCATGAGCCGTGTCTGGGGGCAAAGTCTCATGACAGTTCAGAGCTGGTGCTGCCTTTGCCCTTGTCCCTTTATCTACACTACAACGTGCTGTTGCTGGTTGTCAGCTGAGCTGCTAAAACTACAGAGGGGTGAGACATTTTGGGTGTGCCATCAGGCAGTCATACTGTAAAGAAGGCTCACGTGCTGATGGCTGGTGATGTGTTGTGGAGCTTACACAACTCTTGCAGTAGTAGCAGTTTAGGTAATATGTGTCAAACTCATTCACCACTGTTTTACCATTTACTTTTGACTGCTTGTGATTTACCATCTGTAAAGTTTGGGCCTGGAGGAGTTGACAGCAGTATGACCTGCTTTGGTATATTTTATGTCTGATGTTAGTATTTTGCATACATTGGATCTGGAAATAGTAATTTGAGTGACGCCAATACAAATTTTACAGGCAAGTAAAACTATCGTGGCAGCTTGTCTTTTGGAAAGCTGGTGCTTTTGGCAACAGCAGAGGGGTGATTCTTTACTTATGTGGGAATCTTTAATGCCTTTCTGAAACAGCCATCAGAACTAAAGGACAGACTCTTTTCTCTTTACATGCCACTGAAAATGTATCTAAACTGCCTCAAAGGCTTTTGAACTGCTTTAAGTAAAACATGAAAGATACTATTCTGTAAGCTATTGGTGTGCTGTTGTCTAAAGGACGTGAGTTTCTTTTTCAGTTTGTTAAAATATCTGAAAAAAATCACTTATTTTTCTCTTTCTTGTAAAGGCCAGCCCCATTCTGGTTTGCTGCAGTCAGGAGTTATCAGCTGCTACGTGATGTACCTCACTTTCTCAGCACTATCCAGCAAGCCACCAGAAACTAGTAAGTTGTCTAATGTTCTATGTAAATTCTTTTAGACATGCCATGTATTAAAAGCAACTATTTAGCAAACCTGAATTAACAAATTCAAGGATATATGAGGGCTGTGTTTGGTCTGTTCTGGCCTATGCAGAAGAAATTGCAAATACTAAAAATAAGTCTGTGCAGCAGGAGACTGTGCAATTGGCACTCTCCATGTACCTTAAATGCTTTGGTCTAGGGGAGTTTAACTTACCTTGGGTGAGTAGCATCTGTTGCACTAGAGCAATTCCAGCCTGTTCCTATGGACAAATTTCTCAGAGTCTTGTAGCCTGTTCCTTGTGTGGCAAGTGCATGTTCTCGTATGATAGGATATGACTAAATATGTAATGTGTTTGGTCACATGATGGGAAAGGAGTTGGAACAAATGGCTTGTGGATGCGTCTAGAAGAAGCTGAGTGATCGGCTCCATCCAAAAGTTTACTAGGCCCACCACCACTTAGTAGGTGCGGGCCATCAGAGTAGACACTGAAATCACTTCCTTTCTCCTAGAACTGGTATTCTAGATAGCCTTAGCTCTAGACTCCTAATGGAACAAAAACTTGAGTACACTTGTCTTTCATTTTGAGAGAAAACATTCTGAGAAAGGGCTTGCAGTTAGGTTGCAGTTGTTTGAGATGATGGTGTTCTTCAACAGAGTCCCTGTACTCCACTTGCCTTCTAACTGTTGGCATTACAAGCCAGGAGTAGGGAAGTCCCTAAAGTTCTTTATGCTACAAAAACCCGGCAAGACTTTACAAGCGCAACTCAAACTGTTTCCTTTTCCCAGGTAACCATCAGATTCACCGATTTGGACAGGGAGCATTCTTTTCACTTAAAGACGACTTTTCTGGTTCAAATTAGTAATGCTAAAACACCCTTTATTATTGCTCAGCTTTTAGTGTTGAATAGTTGAAACAACAATAACTAGAGGAGAATAAGTCTTGGCAGGAAGGAGAAGTTTTTACAGATGCCTCCCAAGAAGAAAGAGGAGAGATGAGAGAAAGAATCTCTGTCACACTTGTGTAGGCACAGGTACACACAAATGTATTCTAGAGCTAAGAAGGAAAAACAGTATTTAGGTGGAAGATTTACTTATGGAGCTTAAGCAGTGTTTTCGAATGAATATAGGAGTGAATTTAGAAGGCATCTGGATTAATCAGAAGACTTGACACAGTGTAGAAAGAAAAAAAGAAGAAAAAAGGGGAAGAAAGCGATGTATGGTATTAAATCATTAGCCTCATGTTATTTCATGCTTGTGACAGACAAAGCCTTCAGCAGTTAAGTGAATGCTCTGATTTTTCTTGTATGTATTGCGAGTGTGGTTATTGCATTTGTCAGAGTATGCATCAAGCACACTCTCTCAGACCTCCTGAATTGGATGTTCCTCCTTGTCTTGCCAAGGTAGAGAACTCTCATGCTTGTCATCTGCTCTCAGAGATGCTCCTTTCTGTCCTATGTGATAAGGACTCTCATACTGGCCTGTGCAGCTTTTACAATAGCATGTGTTGGAGAATGTAGGGGGTGCTGGCACTTACTAAGGTGTCCCATGCCCTGTCACTCAGATTTGCCATGAACTTACCTAATGTTGACTCATTCCTTAATGAGGGACTTTCAAATTGGCCACCTTGCAAATTGGCCATCTTGCAAACTAGACCTGAAGAAAATGCAAGCTACAAGTATTTATTTGTAGCACCCAAAAAGCAAAGTTGCAAAGTTACACTCTTCAGAACAAGTGGGCAAACAAAAGGTAAAGTCTGTTGAACCTGTGCTTACTACAGTGTGCTTTAGCTTTTTTGTGGCAGACTCAGCTAAAAGTCTGCCAAACAGTGGACCTGCCTTGCTGCAGAGGTGTCCCTCATGGATGCGGCTGGAGGATTCTGCAGATCTCTGGCCAAGGTGTTCTATAAAGGCTTGTCATCCCTTCTTTTGCTCCCACCTCTGTGCTGTTCCTGCTGTGTGCTGATAAAGCTGTTTGTGCAGCCCTGCAGGGCCATGCAAAGTCCTTGCCCACCAGCTCAGGGGACTGGGTTTGTTTTTAACCTGGGTGTAGCCTTTGCTGCATTTTGCCCTCTGCCCTTACAAACAGTTGTGCTGTCCCAATGGGGATGCAGTGTGGCTGCTGGAAGGAAAGAGGAGATGGGAACACAGTTTGCCTTAAACAGCATTGGCTCAGAAAGCTCTTGATTTGAGATAAGGTGCAGCTGTAATGTCTTACTTTGGGGTGATGCTGCAGGATACTGCTCTGCCTTGCCTTGATTCCAAGCAGACACCAAAAAGCCAGATGCATTTTGGAACATCAAGGACTGAATTGGTTTCATTTCAGGGACCTAGAAGTGGTGTTTGCTTAGATGTTAAGAAAAAATCTTGCCTGTAACTGGTGCATCTCCTTTTCATTGATCTTCAGTATGTCAGTCTGAGAACAGGGCAACTACACACCACATTTTTACACTGAGTATGAATTTCATAGTTGTCCTGGAGGCACCCCTGCTGTCAAAGAAATTTATGGTCTCCAACACCTCTCAAGTGGATGGACTCCATGATGGGAACTGGGGGAGCATAATCCCTCCCACTGTGGAAGAAGATCAGGTTTGCGACCACCTGAGGAAGTCGGTGGGACCTGATGAGATCCATCCCAGAGTCCTGAGAGAACTGGCTGATGTAGTTGCCAAGCTGCTCTCCATGATCTTTGAAAAGTCATGGCAGTCTGGTGAGGTCCCTGGTGACTGGAAAAAGGGTAACATCATGCCCTTTAAAAAGGGTAGAAAGGAGGACCCTGGGAACTACTGACCCATCAGCCTCACCTCTGTGCCTGGGAAGATCATGCAACAGATCCTCCTAGAATCTATGCTGAGGCACATGGAGGATAGGGAGGTGATTCGAGACAGCCAGCATGGCTTCACCAAGGGCAAGTCTTGTCTTACCAACCTGGTGGCCTTCTATGACGGAGTAACTACATCAGTGGATAAGGGAAGGGCTACGGATGTCATCTGTCTGGACTTTTGTAAGGCCTTTGACATGGACCCTCACAACATTTAGAGAGAATCTCTAAATTGGAGAGGTATGGATTTGA